CACTTTTCATTGCAATAAATGCTACTTCTACATCAAAAGATTACTTCTGTAATTTACTCACTTTTAAAATGTGGTCATGCTTTTTTAACTTTTAAGCAAATATTTACATTTCTAGAATATGATCAGTTCGGAACTTGTCGAGGAAGAGGAATGGTCTTTCTGCTTGTCTGCCTCGCTCCATAGAAGGTAACTACAAAGCACAGCAGAGGCGATGGATGAATGCAGTTCTTGTGGCTCAGAAACACAGGCTTATGAGCACTTCCAACTGATACTGACTGTCTGCTGTGAAAAAGGATGAAATATATATTGTTGTGGATTTAGGGTGAAGCTGCTTCCCACCCTAATAATGGTAATCTGCCCTTTTGGGGAATAAGAAAATTGTGGGGTAGTTTAAAGCAATATATTGTATTTTTTATTTTCATGACTTAATCTCTATCCTTGCATCAGTTACTAAGCTGAGCCCTAATGTGGTGTAAATTACGCTGTAGTGCACTCTTTTCTTCTGGAGAACACCACATGTTGTGCAGGGTGTTTATGATGAATTTGGAAGAAGCTGAATTACTTGTATCTCTGTTCATCAGTACAAACACAGCAGGGTATAAAGAAGCAGCACTGTTGTAAGGTCATGCACGTTTGGACAAAACTGCTGTTATCATTAGCTTCAGGAAAAAACATGTTCTAGATTCACAGAATGATCATTACTGACAGCATTCCATGTCAGCTGCCTTTTAAATATTAGCAAGATCACTGAAACATTTTGAAAGGCATTTTCTCAGACAGATTCTAACAAAAATGAAAATGTGAAATCATATATTTTAGGTTTAAAGGAATGTTGGATGGGAAAAGTCATTATGCACATATAAATGTTTACTAATGGCAGAGAGTCATCTGGCTTGTCTTTCTGATTTGATTGTTTATATTCCAAAGTAATTTCTTGAAGGATCTTGGAAAATCTGCTTCACAATTATGGTTTGATCTTCTGCTCAGTCATTAATTTAATGCAAAAAAAAAAAACTGGCTTCTGCTCTCAGTCCTGACTTGTATTGTATTCAAGTTTGCTTTCAATTTGTCATGTAATTGTCAAGATTTAATATACATACAACTTACAAAATAATTTTAAGCTGTGACTAAAGCTTAGTTCTCTTAGGTGTGAAACTGTGCTCTTTTGGACTGTGCGAGGAAACCGGAGCACCAGGATGATATCCACACGAACACAGGGAAATCATACAAACTCCAGATTTAAAAATGTAGAATTATAACTGAAATAATAGACATCTGGGAACAAGACTAGATCCTAACTAATCTTGCACACGTCTGCTTGCACACATATGTAAGTCTCGCTCCCGGGACCTCCTGTAACACATCTCTCGTATGGTGCACATCCTCCTTAAGCACTCTGTGTCTTGCTTGGTCACAGACAGACAAGTCTCACATTCGATGCTGTCAGGATCTTAACTTCATTGTGTTCATCCAGAACTGGAGTTGCTCTGCAGCTCTGCGCCCACTACACTGGCTGTATTTTTCTTTTAGGTTTTGGGATTGCAGCAAACCCACAGAATCCCCTAGCAGCTGCAGCAGCTGCTCCTGCAGCTGTATTTCCTGTCTTTTCTATCTTTTCTTTCCTGCTCCATTCTCCTCCCTCCTCTCTTCTCTCTCTCCATTTCTGTGGGACCGTCCGGCCTACAGCACCTATGGCCCCAGCCAGTTGTTTTGCTCTCCCCTCTCCCAAATCCTTCTTTTTTCTATCCACTGCCGAGCCCCCAGTCGATAACTCGCACTCCGACTCTCGAGCAAGAGCGAACAGAGCCAATCTGCACCGGATCCAGCCGTCCTCATTAACCCCCATGATGTCCCTAGTGCATGCGTCTAGGCAGCAAGAGCGAAGCCCCCCTCCCCCTTTGGGCTGGTGTCCAACTGGTTGGTAGCCAGCCTTTGACCCTTCCCTCTCCCACGCCTCTAACCACATACATAGCTAATATTATATTCAAAATTAATTCAAGCTGCATCCCCTGAAAAAAAAAGGAATTCAACAAGTGGCAGCTTTCTTCCATATTCCACCTTGGGATACTTTTCCAGGCCAGCTGCTCTACCAATAGCCAGCGCCTTTAGCTGCCATAGCAGAGCTCCAATTTCAAACAAGTCAGTGCAGCTACAGGACCTGCTAACCAGCGGCTCTCTTCCTGTCGCCCTCCAAGCTCGGCAAGTCACCATGGGAACCGGTACAAACACAATGGCGACACTGTTGTAACTCGCTCATACTGGCCGGAAAACCAGAAAACTAAGAAAATAACATCCTGCTCACCTGCAGGCACCAGCAAGTCTTTTCTACCTGGTTCCTCACAGGTAGCTCCAAGCTGCTCCTTCTAGGTCAGTACCTCGTCTTACTAGTTACAACTCCAGCCCGAGTCAGAAAGTCAGCTAATACACCTAGCTGCCCGGAGGGGGGACAACCATGTGGTTAGGACTCCTAGAAGTTTATTTTCTCCCACCGGGTGTTTTTGTTTTCCTCCCCGCTGTGCCCATATAAGATAAGATAAGATCACTTTATTGGCCCTATACAATTTCTTGCATTAGGAATTATCTTCTTGCATACCCCAGCTTGCTTTCCATGAGACACACAGACAGGGAGAGAGAAGCCTGGGGTCAGAGCGCAGGGTCAGCCATTGTACAGCACCCCTGGAGCAGTTGGGGTTAAGGGCCTTGCTCAGGGGCCCAACGGGGTAGGATTCCTCTGCCGGCCGCAGGATATGAACCGGCAACCTTCCAGCCACAGGCGCAGATCCTTAGCCAACCGCTTCTGAACCCACTAGCTCATTCAAAGCTGAAACGTCCTGTTTCTTGTCTTCTCTTTTCAGCCTGGAATAAACCTTTACTTGTTACTTTGCAGCCTATGCATGCTGGCACAGCTCCCTACTTGAACTACTTCAGGTTATTTAATGTATTGAATAAGGGACAGAAAAAAAATATTTTAATAAGCTTAGAATTCAAAATATCTTATAAGAAAGATAGAGTCACTGCCCGCATTCATTCATTTTCTAACCAGTTTATTCAATACAGGGTGATGGGCAAGCCAGAGTCCGTTCCACCAAACAACAGGTCCGAGGCCAATTACACCCTACACAGGTGCCAGTCCATCGCAGGGCAAACTGACACGCTCACACCAGGATTGTATATCTTAGGACTGTGGGAAGAAACCCAAAGGGAATGTGAGGAGAACTTAAAAATACGCAGACAGCACCCCAGGAATTGAACCCAGGGCCCCTGTTTTCTGTAAGGTAGAAATGCCAGCCACTGCTCCACTGTGCCACCCTCTGACAACAACTGACAATCCTACACAAGGGAGGACCTGGACTAAGTGACATGGAAAATTCAAAATGTAATATATGAAACCCTTTTAAGCACAAATCTGCTAGCAAACCTGGAGTGAAATATTGACCTCCTGCTACGCATAGGAAGAGAATACATTCTTGTACAAAACTGTCCACACTTTAATCATTTGTGTCCTCTGATATGTTACAGAGTGACTCGTGCAATTCATTACAGGCAGCTTCCAAATTATTATGCTGTTGATTAAATTAGTAAAAGCGATCGCAATCTGAAGCATGTTAATTGGAAGAATTTATTTAGTCCCCTGACAGTTTTACATGTGTTTGATTAAGTATTATAAGGTTTGTTTTTCTGATTTTGCATAATTTACGTTTAAATCCTCAGCAAAGGGAGCTGGTGCCCATTAACGACTGTAATAAACTCTTTTTAAAAACGCCTCTGTTTATAATTTATCTGCCAGTGTTGTGTCTCTCGCTACTGCCTGGCTGCCTGACAAATAGGCTGGATGTAATCTGGTCACCTCATAAATCTGTACAGAAGGCTTAGGGAGCTTTTGAGTAATAAAAACAAGTTTACAGTGCAATACAGAGAGATGTGTGTACGGGATACTTTTGCTTCATTAGGCAGATGCAAAACTGACTACAAACCATAAAACAGTACAAACCAAAAAAACTAGTTTTGAGAAACCAAAAATACAAGTTATCTTGAAACCAGAATGTAATTTTGGATCACTTTTGTGACTTTTACAATTATTTGCCAGAATAGACGATGTACATTTTAAATGTGTATTGGTTAATTAAATACAACACACGCATTTCTAGTAGTTATTAATTAATATCCCACATTAAAGAAATAAAAAAAAAATTCTGTATATTTATGTGTCTTTTTTTCACACCACTCCTGTTCTCCTGGTGTTGGGACACTCATTCTCTAGAATGAGTCACCACAATATGTATCACAATTGTATCCCATGCTGGGAGAACTGGAGTGACGTTTATAAGGGTCTTTCAGTGATCCTGTGCCGGTCAATTCGAAAGAAGGATTTAAAAAGAAGTTAAGACATATGACATTTAATTATAAACAAACATAATAAGAACAATGTAAATTAAAAAAATGTTAAGGTTTGATTCATCTTTTAATACAGAGTCTTGTTTTATGTAGTTATAGAGCTGTTGCAAGAATATCAATATTAGTGCATTAAGGTGCTTCCCAGTTACTGTAGTTCTTGTAAACCACGTATTTGTCACCTTGTATTTTATTAATGTTTTCATTTATGTTCACATCTTTTACTGCCGTGCTGCTTTTCTCTTTTTGTTTGTCATAAATATATTTCTTGAATCCAGACTCTTTTTTTTAAGAAATGAAGAATTGAATTTAAATCTGTTAAAAAGGTTCAGTAGTCTGTTACTGAAAAATGCACAAAATGCGCATAAAATTATTTGACACTCCAGTTAACATGAAATTGCTGTCTCAATCACAGTTCATGAATTGGATTTTTCATTTGAATTGTGTTTTTTTTAATCTATAAATGTTTTTTTTTAATAGAACGTAATAACACCTCTGCATATAACATTCACCTTAATATCCTGTCAGTATGAGCTCAATACTACTCCTATATTGTTGCTATAGTAACGCACACATGTCGTTGTTACGGCACGACAAGCCGTAAAATGTTGAGAGACTGTATAATGGAGTGGGAACATACGAGTGAGAAAAGATAGTTCAGTATATCTTACATTTGCATTAATGTATTATGTTACATATTATTTAATATGCAGGTAAACAAATACCACTCGAATTAACAGGGGTCGCTTTTCTTTGATTAACATTAATCTACTGTGTCTTGCCTAATATGTAGAACATTACAAAGAGGACAGTGAAAAGGGGTTGCTTCTTAAATCCAATTCGTTTGTAAATCTTCCCAGTTTTTGCTTGGATGTTTATAGTTTTGAATACTGGAATAATGTGTGAAAAAGGACACTGCATGAAACGAGCATCTTCAACTTTAAATCTTCCGAGGCCAGCTTTCTCTTAACAACCTCCTATACAGGCTGAAACGGTATGGTTTTATTCCAACAATACTGCGTAGGTTGAATAATGCATGCATTTAGCTTCCTGAAAAAAAAAACACGAGAAGACCGAAGGTAGGTAGGCTACAGTTTAGTAGTTTGTACACTTTTTGCTTCAAATGCCTTTAAAAAAGCTCTGTTACGGTGCCAAATAAAGTATTTTATGAAAGAGTTGTTCGTAAAAAGATAAGCGAATTAAGCGACAATTGTCGTTTGAGTACTCTCTGCGGCTCTTGCATCTGTTTTCCGCATTCATGTTTGCTTTGCGCTGTATCAGACAGTGAGGTTTTCCAGTTGATTTGCTCATAAACATTGCAGTCAATTAAAAGATCAGAGAAGACATAAGTGAACCCACATTCCAGAACTACAGTAGGTGTACGTGCTGTCGCACTGTTACAAATGACGGAGGTTAATACTATGGATTCTTACTGTCATGAGATGTTTGTGATTTCATCATGACTGGTGTACAGTAACTTTTAAGGTCATACGGTGAACTGTCATCATCATTATTCTTATTACTATAAGGCTGGATAACACAGTGTTCAAGTGGTTAGCATTGCTGCCTGTGATCTGGGGTGCTATCTGTGTGGAGTTTGTATGTACTCACCCGTGTTTGTGTGGGTTTTCACACAGGACCCACTGTCCTCTTTGAAAACTGGCCCTGGTGTGTGTGTGTGTGTGTGTGTTTGCTTCTCTGTGTGCCCTGTGATGGACTGGCCACCTGTCCAGGGTGTATTCTCCCTTGCTCCTGTCGTTTGCCAAGATAGGTCAGGCTCCCCTGCAACCCTGAATTGGATGAAGTAGTTAGAAAATGGATGGATATTTTAATTATTATTAAATTATTGTTTTATCTTTTGTAAGAGGCACTTGAGACTCCCTTTGATTTTTTTACGGTAATATGTTCATCCACCACACTGGCCTTGCCCTTGTGTTCAACTTGCGGCTTTTTCTTGAGTAAGTACTGTTCGCTGTGGATGTTAAGTAGACATGGCTATTAAAATAATAATTTTAAAAAGTCCGACCAAACCTAAATGCCTTGCTGAACTGAAATTATTGTACCTGGGTTTGTCATATCTAGTGTGTTTCATTCTTGTAACCGTAAAAATAACATTAATGGGGTAACCTCTCAGCAGCTGCCTAGTTACAGTTTGATTTTTTACATAAAACTCTCTGAAGTTCTTTACACTACATATGGAATCTGTGTGCTGTGGAATTTTCTGTTTTTTTGTCTTTAGCAAGAAATGTTAGACCCTAATTGATTCATTCATTAAATTAACTATTTTAATAGTTTTTGTCAACTTGGCAACTGAGTCTTAAACCTATTGCTGTTGTGTCAGTGTTGAAATATTTTCTTTACCGCAAGCTGTCTGGACAAAGCCTCATGCCCCATTGGCCTTAGCCAAATTTATCAAATAGGATTTAAATAATGCTGATTTACAAAACAGACTTTAACGTTGCATATCTGCTAATAGCTGGCCATATCTAAAGAGGCTTTCAGCGAAATTCATCATGTGATTCTGATGATAAAAATGTCTTGAGAGATTTGTTTTTTCTTGAAGTGTCCTCACTTAGCAACATCTGCACAATCTGCCAAAGCCCATAAAGTTAAGCCTTGCAAAAGCTACAAATGCTAAGGTATCCCTCAATATACCAGTGATAACACTGGGCATGCATACAACAGTCCTTTAAAATATAGTTTATTGGATTTGCAAAGGAAAAAGGCAGCTGTTTGTTATTTGTATGTTAAATACTGCTGCCACGACATCTCTGAGAGGTATTCAATCAAGGTATCTTCAGGGTTAAGGGAGGTATGTTTTTGAACCATGACTTGAATTGGCAGAGTATTGTCACAACATGAACAATAATATAAATACAGTTTGTTAAAACAGAAGTGTTAGGAAACTGTAGCACAAGTGAACAAAGAACCCTTGCCCTCGGTCTTTTGATGTCACAGGTAATACTGTTTTATTTGGCGATTCTCTGTTGTGCTGAGTATAGCGCAATGCTCTTCTTAGCCTCCAGGCAATTCAGTCTAAACAGTGGAAGAAAGATTGTCACCGTTGAAAATTTGCCGCACATTCTCGTAGGGCACCTTCATTTTGCTCTGCATGCAGACGACACCCCTTTATACCCCTGACACCCCCACAGAAACTGCTTCTTTGCCTTTGGGGTGGAGCGGTGTCTCTGTGGCTAAGGATCTGCACCTGTTGCTAGAAGTTTGCCGGTTCAAACCCCACGGCCGGCAGAGAAATCCTACTCCGTTGGGCCCCTGAGCAAGGCCCTTAACCCCAACTCCTCCAGGGGCGCCGTATAAATGGCTAACCCTGCGCTCTGACCCCAAGGGTCTCTCCCTGTCTTTGTGTCTCATGGAGAGCAAGCTGGGGTATGCGGAAGGACAAATTTTACTGGCCAACAAAGTTATCTTATCTTCATCTTCCTGTGTAGGGCCCCTGTTGTGCTGGAGCGCGGCACAGTCAGCAATGTGGAGCTGTGGTGGCAGGGCCCTGGACCACGCTTGCACGTTCTTGATGGTTGTCGTCACTGGATGATGCAGGACTGCGCCACTGGTAAGGACAGAGCCTGTTTCTGGGACTCCTCACAGCCTGGGGCCCTCCAACCTCGCTCATGCCTGTGATCCCCATACCCCGAAGGGTGCGCTCATTCCATGGCCCCCACACCACCTGCACGCACTCTGCCTGCGGACCCGTGAGGACCACCCAGCTGGTCCGCACCAAGTACAACAACTTTGACCTGTACCTGAAATCGCGCTTGATGTATGGCTTCATCCGCTTCCTCCTCTACTTCAGCTGCAGCCTCTTTACATCCATCCTCTGGGTGGCGCTCTCTGTCCTCTTCTGCCTCCAGTACTTCTGCATCCGAGTCTTCCTACGTTTCCAGTACAAGCTCTCCATCATTCTCCTGCTCCTGGGGCATCGCCGCCTGGACTTCAGCCTGCTCAATGAGCTTTTCATCTACAGCATCCACGTCACCATGTTCCTAGTTGGAGGTCTGGGTTGGTGCTTTATGGTCTTTGTGGACATGTAGCATCTATGGGAGCAAATGGACGATGTACAGTTTATTGTACATGTACAGTAGGGAAACTCTACATGTCAGGCTGAGGTGCAGTTCTCAATGGTTGCACAAAGGCCAGCGTATTGAGGAGAGGAAGGAATGTGACCTCATTTCAGTCAGATTAACTTCAACATACAAACCAAAGTCCCTAAAGGCAATCTGCATTATATTTCAGGGGAAAGCAAGTTACTGATAAAAGTTCTCCATAGAGGTCCTTTGTAATAGCCGTTTGAACCCCCAGACTCAAAAATAATCTGTGTTTTGCATACATCCTTATGACAAGAAATCAGATTCTTTCTGCTTATTAAACCCCCCTCTGACCTTACTGTGAGTTTACTTGAGCCTTTCTCAACTTGGTAGAAAACTCCTGATGCCTAATCTGAATCATAACTGCTGCAGCTCACATCTCGATCTTAAAACGCTTAGAAGTTTTCTTATTACTGGTAAGTGTGTCCAAGCCATGTAAATGTCAGTTAGATTCTACTGTTCTGTACTGATTTTACTGTTATTGAGTGTGTATGACTGAATGCACAACTGCAGGCCACACTGTATTTTTTTTTGTACCAACAAGACTACGACTCGTGATACCATAAATTGAAATATGGGACCACAGTGAATAAGATGATAGAATAAAGAAGGAAACAGTGACCAAAATAACACATTTTTCTGCCATTGAGAGAACATAACACAAATGCCAGCTATGTCTGGCTATTCTGGTCTGTTATACTGTATATGAAATGTCTGTTGAAACATGGTATAGAGAGATTGTAAGGGAGATTTTAGATATTAAAAAATTATAGTGTTGCCAATTTTTATTGTTTTACAAATGCAAACAGTATAGCATTATTATTAATAATTAAACCTATAATTATTATTCACCCAAAAAAGTTCATCAATGTTACTGTACTCATTATAAATATATTAATTGGTGTTTACAGTATGTGTACAATTTTGAAGTGTTCCCTGAATCTTAAAAATCTTAAAAATCTGGCCAAATAAATAAAATCTTTCGAAATTATGCATTTGTTCTCACCCATTTTCTACACTTAATTACATTATTGTAGTCTAAACATGTTCAATGCATTGCAATGTGAAATGACTCAATTTAATAAAACAAATAGTGCAATTTTGTTTTTGACCATTTTTTTCACCTTACTAGGGAGAACAACACCTACTTTTTTCCTTGTGTATGCATTCTACAGACAAACTGAGCATCATTGGATAAGCTTGAACTAATGAGACCATGCAATGGTACTGTATGGTCTCTGGCCTGCTAGGCTTTCGCCACAAAACTGGTTCCCTTAAAGGGTTTAATAGTTTTATTAATAGTTTATTGGATAGTCACTGTGTACAGCTGGGCAGTACCAGTTAGGCTCCAATATTATGAGTTTTGATTTGCTTGCGGTTTATGCACACAAGGGGTCATGTGCATGTATTCTTCCAATTTTGTGTACTGCATCATTTATATCAGTGGTTCTCAAACGTTTTGGACCAAGTACCACCCCTGATCAAACCAAAGCATCCAAGTTCCAGCTACAAGTCATCTTCTCATAGGAACCCCAGAAAATCTCAATGACCAACATGATTGGCGCACGCACACACACATATAATAAAAATAGCACTGGGCACTTAGATAATTCGGGTTGCACCGCCTTGTAGCCATTTTCCGATGCTTACTAAAACACTAGCAGTGCTGTCTGTGTCAGGTTCAGCAGCAGAGCTAGTGTCGGTGGCTGATGTATAATCCTCCTCGTTCTCTACATGATCTATCGGAGCTGGCGTCAGTACTCTTGGCGTCTGTTCCTTTCAGTCATAATACTTGATTTTTGCGAGGTAGTCATTTTCGATCGCTTGTTCTGTTGGCGAATGTGGCGCTAAGCTGTGTCTCTGAAAGCCCAAGAGGCGTCTGAACACTCGAGTATTCGCGCGCGCTGTATCGACGTAGCTGAGTACGTAGCCTGCGTATTTGACGCATAAACTAATTCTATTAAAATAACAAATATTAAAACCTGTCACAAGGTTTCTAAAACCGATTAATTAAATTACAGATGAAAAATGTACATCATTGTGTACATCAAATGTACATCAACACCCAATTTCTCAACAACAAATTTCCAGGGTCATCTGGTATACCACCTGGGGGCGTACCACAGTTTGAGAACCACTGATTTACAGTATATCATTCTGTCTTTGCCTTTTTATTGCTTCAAGAAGGTGAAAATACTGTAACAACAACTACACGTAAGTCTGTTTTGTTGAGATTTTGTTGAAACTTAATATTTCTCATCTTAAATTTGATACTTTCTGCATGTAACACTTTGCACTTCTCTACATTAAATGACATCTGCTAGGTGTTTGCCCAGTCTTAAATTTTGTCCTTTTGAATTACCTTTATAGTACTTTAGAGTTTGGTAATTCCCCTTTTTATATAATTTTGAAATTTGACTGGTTTACTAACTACAGTATATCAGAATCTACTTCATTGATATAAATCAGTAAAACCTGTGGTTCTAATACAGATCACCACAGTGCTCCAATAATTATATTAGCCCATTTTGACTATTTACCTTTTATCTGTATTATTTTTCCTGTCTATTTGGTAGTGAGAAGTGGTTTTGGAACAAAGAGTACTATTAAAGAGAGAACAAGGGTAGAATGAGACACACCTGGCCACAAGGAGTGGGATTCCAAATGAGGGAGAGGAGCAAAAAATAGAACGGTTTCTGTGTGGTAATAACCACTCCCTTGGATCAGTGGGAAGATTAATTAGAATGGCCAGGAAGAAAAAGGTTTCAGTCTGCATCTAGCATGGAAAGAAGGAGGGTGAGAGCTCCAGATGGAGTTGTTAGTAGCTGTGGGTTGATCTGGCTTACAGGCTTGTGAGCAAAGGACACTTGAGAAAATATATCTTAGGTTATACTGAAGGGGATGACGAGTGCTGGACAGTATCTAGGAAGGGGTTTGTTGTTTTCCTGACAGACTAATGAGGATGAGGGAAGCAGTGAAGCCTTGTCTCTCAAGCCCGAAGTTGAGGGAGGAACAGCTACCTGCATTCCTAGTTTGTAGTAGTTCATTTGCCAGGCTCAACAGGGCTGAGGGCTGAGGCTTGAGCACCTGGAGGAGCAGGGCATTGCCTGGCAGGATAGGAGTATAACTAAGGGGAGAAAGGATTCTAGGATAGCAAGGGCGTTGTCCTGAGTACTTCAGGCTTGTACCATCAACAGACTAGTGTGCAGTGTCGGAGGCAGAGAGAGTATGAAAGGTCTAAGAGTGAAAACGACAAACTAGCAGCTGCTGTATCAAGGGTGCGAGCGCTGATTAATAAAGCCTGAGGCGTCCTGGCCAAACAGGATCAGCTGGTATAGTTAGAGATGAAGAGTGATTGGTTGTTCACAACGATCATGTGCTTGGGGAAAACAAGCGAAAGAGGAGAGCTGATTGAGATAAACTGATTATGCGTGAAGAGTATTGTGATTGGGTGAGTCGGGTAGCATATTCCAGTGACTTATTGTATTAGTGAAGACTAATGTTATTGAACTAACGAGAAATATGAAAGTGTGAAACCCCGAAAGAAGAGCTATAAGACTGAAATATAGTACTGTAGGTACAGTAGCTGCGTCAGCATGCGTAGGCTGCAAAGACGAGCTGAAAATGCATGCTGAAAAGAGAAGAAAACCTCCATAGCTGAAATGTTGTGTTTCTTTTCTTCTCTTTTCAGCGTGGAATAAACCTTTACTTGTTCCTTTGAAATATAAGACTGTGGAGACTGATGTCACAGCAGGAAGCCCGAAGGGGTTCTGTCCACATTAATGAATAGCAGACTGCTTAAAATTAAAATGACACTCAGGTAAGGTGGTATTTAGGGTGGTGAATATGCTGGCATTATCACCTTATCCATTAACTTGGTCCCAATCCAAAGAATGTACAGTATTAGATTACTGTTGTTATTATTCAAAGAACTCTAGCAAATTAGCAAAGCAAGATCTTCCGTTTCTTTTCCTTTTCTAAACCTATGTGGACTCTCCCTTAGAATCCTATTGCCATACAGAGGATCCTGTAGTTTTGTTCTAATTATTGTTTCCAACACTTTGCATATGATACAATTAAGACTTATCAGTCTATAATTACGTGGGCTGGTTTTGTCTCTATGGATGGGTGTTGCATTAGAGATTTGCAGGTCAATGGGTATCACACCTGTCTTGTGTGGCCCTTGGAGAGCTTTTATTAGCAGTCAGTAAATAAATCTTGTTTCCTCACATAAAATTTGAAAAATACTATCAGGGTCTGGAGACCTGTTTATATTAAGTGCTTCTAGTACCTGTAACAAGTAGTCCTGGACTCTTCAATGCTAATATTTAATATACAGTATTTAACTTTTGTCTGAGGTATTTTTCAGTTTTCTTCTTGGTAAACACCGGAGTGATATTCATTGTATTTATTACACTTTCATCTTCTCTAAATTGAGCATAATTAAATTAGAGACACTTTACTTCATCCTTTACTGTTCTTGTGCTGTTGTAATACTAAAAGAAATTTTCACTAATTTTGTCTCTGTTGCAATTTTCAATATCTCTCCTGAGCTTTTTCTATCTTACTTTGTGTTCTCAAAGTCTACAGTTGCTCTTACAGAGCCTTATTTACAAGCCTCAAGCTAAGAATTGTCTGTTCATGCCCTGAATGAATAGATATTTGATATTATTGTGTGCATTATGGAATATGTTTTTCCCCAGATGTAGTTTTATCAGATTAAGTCAACAAATACTGTACATTCACAACAGGTAAACCTACTTCCATTTGTATCTCCATTGTAAAAGAGAATTTTGCAGTGGATAAATCAACCACATCTGATATCTAAAATTTAGTTTGGTTCAGCGAGGAGTGACAAAGTTTTTCAGAACCTAAAAGGAGATGCCCTGAAGGATCATTGGACAAAGCTCTTCAAAATCACTGCCGAGCCGAGCTACACTGAAACAAAATTAATGATCAAGAAATGATCGAGTGCAATCTTACCAAAATGGGTAATTAAATATTCTATGAGGTGACCATTTTTCAGAAACTTTAAAAATTGACATCCTCAAGGGCTTTGTCCAGTTTCTTGAAACTCAGTATTAAAAAATACCAAGGTGTCAGCAGACTTCTTTAAAAAATCTGTCTGGATACTAAGGTATAAATGCAAATCTATCAGTAGTCTATTATTGTTGTTGTCGTAATGTCGTATTGACCACTATGGAAATTTTGTGTGCCTATATTAATTTAGGCTGGCCACAGCAAAGGGTTTGAATACTAATACAGCCATGTCTTTTAATTTATCTATTAACTTTCTTTAAACTTCATTTCTTTGAATGTGTGGAATATGTTTTATATATATATATAGCAAATATTAATTGCTGCTTTAAAGTCTCATGACTTTAAAGCCACAGCTATGAAGACAGTGTAAGGACCTGAATACTTATTCAATGTACTTTATATACAGTAGCAACATCCAATACAGTTGAATTATATTTTGCAGGACATTTTGCAGCAGGGTGACACACAATAGCTTCTGCATGCCACTCCAGTAGTACTGTAGCTATCCTTCTGAGCATATGATTGCTCCTGGGGCACTATGAAAAAGTGTAATATACTTGGCCATATTCTGACTTGACACAGCTGCACCAGATTTGTGAAACAGACTTTTGTTCCATTTCTTAAAAATAACACTGCCATGTAAATGTAGCCATTCATTTTTTTTAAAAAAAAACTGTGTTTCGGATACAATTCTGACCTTGGAGAGGAATCTCAAGTCTCTGAAAATGGGTCAGTACATTACAGAGCCAGAAAATATGCAAAAAAACTCAAAAACTGGTCAGTGATTGGAATTGTTGACTGTTTTAATTTATGTTAATGATTAATATGGTACTTGCATGACCTTTACAGTTAATTTCAGCAGGCCTGTTTGTTGTCAAGTTCTTGGTCTGTCAATAGTTATACACTGAATATACTGGTTGATGTGTTTTCTTTTGATGAATGTTAGAAATGGCTTTTTTCAAAGCCGATTGCCAGCTTATGAACTACTGCAGCACACAGACTGAATCTAAATTTGTTTGCATCTATATCTGTACATTTTGCACACGTTCGAAAAATAGCTGTGAGCCAATCAAATCAAATCAAAGCCAAACTGATACAAAAGCACCCATGACACATTCTCAGTTAACCTAGTTTACCTGCTCTCACCAAATGACTGTTTTTAGTTAATATTTGTATAGCATGATGGTGAAAGCTTTCAATATTCATATAATTCATATACAGTGTACTGTAGATGCTAAACCAAAGACACAGGTACATTGCGGTCTTTGTTTATCACAGACACTGCATTTTTGTACAATTTCCCCAGCTGCTGGCTGTATTTGTCACATGATTAATATTCAGTGTCTGATTACTAAAACAGGAGACCAACAAAAAAAGATTTTCAAGGCCCCGGGCTATCCAATTATCAGCTGAATTGGATGTTCTGCAATTTTAATTTTGGTTTTACACACATTAACAAGTGGCTCCGTCCTCACTCAACCTATAAACCTGAGTTGATATTTAGCATCATAGAAAAAGATATCACAGCTCTTTGAATTCCTCCATAGGAGAGCAACAAGATACATTCTGGGACTTAAGGGAATGTCCTACACTGACAGGAACTGAACCTTTTTAGTATTTAGTAACAGAGAAGACTACGAGGGAACCTAATACAACTAATTCTGAATCTTCAAAGGCATCGACAAAGTGGATTTCTTCAGAAAGAACAGTGAAACACGAAGCAGATGGCACCAGTGGAAACTACATGGAAGTGTATTTAAAACAGAGAGAAGACAAGTCTTACCCAAAGGACTGTGGGACTATAGAGCAAGCTGCCCAGACTTTTGTTTCATTCAAAAAACTGACTGGATGAAATTCTTGGCTCAATAATATACAACTACCAAATGGGCTACATAGGCCAAATGTCTGTAACAGTCTGTAACTGTTCTTATGTTAATGTGTTCTTTTATTTTTTGGTAAAATGGCCTCCTCTTCTTTGTAACTTCATGTCCTTGTTTCTAAACTACTGATACTTAAACTTCAAGTTGTCTTGTGTGGTCTCTTTGTACAGGACCATTAGGCAATACAGTGGAGTACAGTAATTGAGTAGGCAATTGTAATTGTTGAGATCAGATTTTTAGTTTATAGTATTTTAAGAAGAAGAGGAAGATCACTTTATTGGCCATATACAATTTCTTGCATTAGGAATTTGTCTTTTCACATACCCCAACTTGCTCTGCATGAGACACACAGACAGGGAGAGAAGCTTGGGGTCAGAGCGCAGGGTCAGTCATTTCTACAGCACCAATGGAGTAGTTGGGGTTAAGGGCCTTACTCAGGGGCCCAACAGAGTAGGATTCCTCTGCCGGCTATGGGATATGAACCTGCAACCTTCCAGCCACAGATCCTTACCCACAGAGCCACCACACCGTCCTATGATCTCTTATCTATTATAATATTATAATTTGAGGAATATGGGAAAGATTGCTGAAAAAAAATATATTTTGCTATTAATCAGTGTAACAATATTCCGTGTAAATTACGTTTATGCAGTTGTACGAGGCATTATTTGCATACGAGAGAATTTCAGACGCTAGCCTTAGCAGTCCTCTGCTTTACTCTTTGGCTTCTGTTCCTACAAAACGCAACGTAAAAGGAATTGTGTACTGTCTCTGCCCTTGACAAAAAAAAATAATTAACAGCTAAGCCCGGTTGAAAGATCTGCAACATCATTCGTTTGTGACAAGCAACTGTCACAGCCCTTAGCAGGTAAGTGAAGTTATAGACTTTGTCTGCCTTGTAGCTCCTCTGCAGAGCACACCGTGTCTCTTTAAAACGCCGGACGGTATGATGTCAGGAGTAGTGCAGTTCAGTTGCAGTGCATGTGAGCCATAATCACTTCCTGGACAGGGAACGAGACAAACAGGAGCGAGTTAGTGATCGCGCAGAGGAAAGGGGCCTGGGTGAATTACAGACCCTGCTAACTTTGCATCCGAAGAAATATCGCACCGCTGACAACTGAAGTGGGCAGCTTTTATGGAGGAGCGACATAGCGGGTAAAATATATATTTTTTTCTTGCTTCTTGTTGTCTGGACGAGCCAGACTAGCGTGTTTTGTATTTTCATTTCGAGTATTTTAAAGAATGCAGTAATGTTATATAAATATCTCAAATGTTTCAAGACTGTTATAGTGGGAGAAGTGTTGCAGAATCAGCTGCTGGTGAGGTCGATGACACAACGAATATATGATTACTGTACTTCTTTCGCTACCGCGGTTTTAAATCTCCTTGCACCGCGTCAATGATTTGATAACCATAAAGCAACTTTCTTTGCTACGATTACAAATGCGCCAGTGAGGAATGCGACTGCTGGACGAGGCATCTTGCACAGGTATGCGATAAAAGATGAAACAGTAGCATTACATTTTGTGCGTACCTCTGTGGAAATGTACTGAAACAATGATTTCTAATATGGACATGACAGGGTATTAGATGTTTAATAGGTCCGTACGTCACAGCATCTCAGCTTTTCCATTTGGGGAGAGTGGCTGTCTGTGTAGACTTAGTTAGGGTAGGTGGTGGGATGTTTTGCAGCAGAGATTTTGTGTTTTAGTACCTTTTGTCCGGTGTCCTCTATGGCATCGAGGTGTCGGTTGTTTTAAGGTAAAGCCTCCCGTATTGAAACACTGTGAGAGCTCGTTATTTTTTTTCATCCGAAGGGAAATACTGTTGCCGTATTACAGGGCTTACTGCACCACTGGACGCCTCCGATAAGTATTTTGGGGGGGATGTCGCACTACACCTTAAGTAACTGAGCGGATGCCACCTAGAAGAAACTAGTTTCTCAGGGTTTTGTGGAACTAGAATGAGACGAAAAGGGTGCGTTATACGTGGTGTACTGTACAGTATGTATTCATGTATCCCGGTCATTACCGGGTACTTTGAACTGTTCTGAAATTAAGCGTGTTGGTCGTACACGTAGGACAGAAGTCGTCTGCACAATTTTTACAGATGCCCAGAATAATATGACAAGTGACACGGCAGTTTACTTACCGTGGTCTGTGAAATGGCAGACACGACCCGCAGTCTGTAGGACGATCCAGGACGTTCACGTTCCAGAAATTAACGTTTTAATGCATCTTAGATATTTCTGACTTTAAGACTCTCGTATTTGTGAGGAATAGAATTGCACATTGTGCTCTGTCCAACAAGTGAACTGACAAATACTTTGAGAAAATCACTCATCATTTTTCTTCAGAGTATAGAACCACTCTCTACATATAAGGTCTAAGCTTAATTAGTAGGATAAATATTAAAAAGTAACACCGTTTATAATATACGTCAGTATACAGTACTTATTATCGTTAATAGACATATTAGTTGTTCATTATTTTCGTCTTCTTAGTAATAACTTGTAAAAGTGGAGTGAATATAGATTGGATTTCTGCAAAGCGGCTTGAATCTTCAAAAGAACGACAATACGCGGTGCTGAATGAGTTATTTTAAACAAGTGAGTACCTGATTTTTATAAAATCGTCGAAGCTTAATACATGTTTAATTATTTTTAAGTCTAAATATACAAATAAGATAACTTTCATAAGGTGAACAAGTTTCTAGAATGAATTTACATGCTCATGTTTGTCATGTCTTTGTTTTGATGGGTGCAGATTTTAACACATCCTAATTTTAGTTGGAATAATATACTTAAATTAACAAAATAATTAAACATATCCATCTATCTGTTATCATAAAGTTGCTTAATCTTGATAAAGGCCACACAACCCTGTAGGCATATGTCCAGATCCATCTTTGAAAAAAAAAATATATGTAATTTTTCAATTTAATTTCAGAGTTTGTAATGGAAAATCCAGCCCAGGAACTCAAGACTAACATTACTGTTCTGCATCAAAAACTAATTATGTGGGTTCTTAAGAAAAACATGCTATGGCAAGTGCTGTCACTCAGCTGTAGACACAGTGTGGATTTGAGACAAAATACAGAACTCAGTGTATAAGAGGTGCCAGTGATGAGAGTCACCCTAAAGAAATCTTCTTGCCCTACAATGTGTAGGGATGCCCCCCTTACTCAGGACTTCATGGTGGGCTGGGAAGGATAACATGGATAAGTGCTTTATGGTGAGAGCCAGCTGCTAGAATTCTAGCGACCTCTAAGAAAGCCGTTATTTGTGCTAAGAAGCATCCATTGCATTATCTTCTACATGTTCGCACCCATGCAACCTGCCCAGCTACAGTGTCACTGAGGTCCAGATGTGCAGGCCTGGCTGCATGGCACCTACCCATGCTTTCAAAATGAGATGAGGCCCAAGCCATCGGACACAACAGTCGTAGGCAGTCACATGCCGGCGGGGCTTTTGAATGCAGTCACTGTGCTTCGGGCTGGGGACTGGTGACATAACTCGCCTGGGTACTGGCAGGCTGTTTTCAGCCATGTCTTTGCCGTCTGGCTCCCTGGACTGGTGAGAGAAGTCCCTCAGGTCCTCTTAAAACGAGTCAGCCTCACCACAGGATGCATACTTGTCCTCGCTTCTAGCCTGTACATGAAACTTAAAGCGTTTGTCAAGTACAAGAGAGGGTCTCACCTTCTTTTTAGGGGCCAAGTCGTAGAGAGAAAATACCCACTCTAGCTCCCCAGGGGACAAGGTTGTGTTCCCAGGAAACAGGTTGCAGAGTCACTTCTGCTTCCAACCTGCTGAATCCCAGCTCTTCACAGGAACAATGCTTACAGATGCCTAGATTAATGTTACAGTTGACACGGCGATTAACTCACCGTGGTCTGTGAAGTGGCAGATATGATCCGCCGGTTCTAGGATGATCCAGGACGTTCACATTCAATAAATTAATGTTTATTAAATCTTCATATGTGTGACATTAAGGCACTCGTTTTTGTGAGGAGTAGAATTGCACGTTGTGCACTGGCTAGCAAGTGGACGGACAAATACTTTGAGAAAATCACTCAGAATTTTTCTTGAGATGATAGAACCACTCTTTACATATAAGGCCTATGTTTGTTAGATTAAGAGGGTGAATATTAATAAGTAACAACTTTTATATTTTACGTCAGTATGCAGTAGTTATTATTATTAATAGACATAATTGTTGTTCATTAGTTTTGTCTTGTCGGTGATAACTTGTGAAAGTGCAGTGAATGTAGATTTTGGTCTTCTGGAAAGAAGCTTGAATCTTTAAAAACCCCTGAAAATGCACAGTGCTGAATATGGGTCATTTTAAACAAGAAAGTGCCTATTTTATTTTTATTAAATCATTAATATGAATACATATTAATGTATCTTTTTATGTCTAAATATACAAGTAAGATAACTTTTATAAGGTGAACAAGTTTATAGTATGAATTTATAGGCAAATATTCTGGTCGGTTATGTCCATGTATTTCTTTGTTTTGGTTGGTTCAGATTTTAAAACACCCTAATTTTAGTTGGCATAATTTCTATATAAATTAACAAAATAATTGGCAATAACTTCAGGTTAGTAAAAACCAGAATGTGTGGCCAAATCATTGCTCCACAAATCTCAGCCCACTTTAGCTGAACCCACTTGTCTATGAGTTCATGCAGGGTAGCAGCCATCTTGAAGAAATCCTTCACAAAACACAAGTAATATGAAGACAACACCAGGAGTCTCTGCTGGTGTTTCACCTTTGTAGAAAACACCCAGGCATGCCCCAGGAATCCCCTTACCCCAGAGGAAGTAATTTCTCTTAGGATGCAGTTATAACCTGAACGTGCCCCTTAACAACTTAACCATTTAATCACTGAACACACCCTTTATATCCCCACGATTTCATAAAAAAATAATGGTATTCATCACAGCATCGCCTCACCTCAGTTGCACAGAGCTCAAGCTCGTCATTAGGCACTTGTATGCAACAGCTGTTAAGAGGGATATCTCAGAACTGCCACAGTCCCTTTCCAGGTGAAAAGGAATTTTTCAGTCTGTCTCCAGGAGTCAGGATTCACCTGCTAATATCCACTCCTGCTAGACCATCAAATGCAAGTAATTTGGTTCAGGGTCTCATTGATGCTACGGAGTGGAGTCACACACTCTAGAAATAAAATGACTAGATTAATTATTACAGGCAGAGAACTGTAATATGTTAAATAATGTCTGAGTGAAAACAATGGAAAATGTTTGGACTATGAAAGGGAAAATGCGTAAAATTTTAAGCAAATTTTACACTCGAGTGTTTGATCAAGCAGGAAATTGACAACACGCTGACCAAAATATGTTTTAAATTACATAGTATCATACGATTAGGGTATTCTAATAATTTTAGTAATGGAAATGAGATGTTATTCATAAGTCATTAACAAAACATCCAAAAGTCACTCAAGACAGGTGTAGTATGTGCTGATGGAAAAGGACTGATATAGTGCCCTTTCATAAAATGGGAGGTAAAACTCAAGCTACGTATTTATAGACCAATGCGTCTTATTCCTCATACAAGTTAAGCTATGTAAATTATAATTAAAATTAGACTTGAGGGTTGACCACAATGTCCCAAATGAGGTCTAACTAATTCATTTGATAATTTAACATAACTTACCTTGATTAACAGTCTGTACCCTTAACAATATAGAAAGAAGAGGGTAGGTTGTTCACCAACACAACGTCACTAGCAGTACTAGAGAAGCAACTGAATGAGGGTTCTCTGTGTAGATCAATTATTGAATTGGATGATTGTGAATTTTAGTTCATAAACTCTAGATTGGATTCCAGGATGAAAAACAAGCAACAACAAAAAAATAAACCTAAGCAAGTCACCCATGTATATTTTTTTGTTTTTCTGTCCTAACCACAAAACCAGTACTGGATCTCAGCATTTGTACTAACCACTAGACCACACTGCTCTCCAGACCTCTTGCATAACCACTGAGCCGTGGTCTAGCAATTTCTAAGCTTTCAGGATACACTGTACACCCTCTCAGCGTCTCATCTCAAGCCGGCAGATTGCTGTCCCTGCCTCCTTCAACTGTTAGCACTAATAACACCACGACTGTCAACATAAACATATAAACCTCA